AATTTTTAATTTCCTTTTTTTATTTTTTTTAATTTCTTTGATACCATCTCTGATATTTTGTAATCCCAGCCAAAGTTGAGAATGGGTTGTGACCGATTTGTTAAGTTCTTCTCTATCAAAGCTGGTATACATCTATAAAGCAATCGGGTTCTCGAAAAAAAATGTTATTTATTTAAAAATAAGTAATATATCGTGCTAAGTAACAATAAAAATTTGTCTACTTTTAGTAAATTCTTTAAAATATGCTGTAAACTGAGGGCGGCTTGCTTCGCTTTGATGGTCATGCTTGTCGTATAGATTAGGAGATAACTTGTTTGCCTCTCTATTCGCATGTTCACGATTCAAATCCCGCTGGGGCGGTGACTGAGGAGCTGATGCGGTGAGGCTGAAACAACAGTCTATCCGGCATGAGAGCGGCTTTTTGAGAAGCATGACAGAGTGAAGTCATTTGCAAAAATTTGGTCATATATACAGTTCGTTTTGGGGTAGAATGCATAACACATTTGAAAAAATCAGTTTCCTTAAGACTTATTTGTATTTATTTATGCAGACCTATTTTCGCAGTCTTCTAAAGCATTTCACCCGCACCTTATGTGGACCTCTTGGTGGACTCTTTTTCAGCGCATTCTCGCTGATTGATAGTGTCCCCGATTCAGAGACAAAGCTGAGCAGGTGGGAAATTAAGGATTGTGTGTTTGTGGTTGGGGTTGATAAGTGATCTATAGAAAATATGCGCCCACCTCTTTGCATAAAGCCAATTTAAAGGGTTTCTCTGGGCCCTATCGTTATTTTTATTTTTTCATCTCTATGCATTACCACTAGATTAGTGAGAATGTCGTCTTTTGCCTTTTAGAGCATTCTACTTTGTTCAACTCCAACGACAAGCCACCTCAAAATCACGAACTGACTTCGTTGGACACGACTCCTGGTGGTCAGCATGACGACATCGGCTGCTTTGAGAGAGGGCTCGAGACAGACAATGGGACTAAAACAAAAGATGTTCCGCCTGACTGTCACGTCTTCAGAGAGCCTGCAGAGATTGACCAGTACTCAGTGCAACTAACCTTAGATCCGCTAAGCAGGTGCGTGTAATTGTCGCTGATGTACCAGAATCGGGGTCAGGTTGTGCAATGTTAGGCTGGCAACGCGACTCGGCACAATCTGATGGCCGGAAACACAACCTCGGACTATATCCCCAGAGTGTAGCTTGATAGAGATGTAGAGGCCTCTGCCACATTTCACATTACCTACAACTTTATAAAAAGCCCTAGTGGCACAGACCACACTGCCATAGACTACTTCATCAGCCTTTGTTGCCATTGCTACGGGAACTTTTCGTCCCAAAAGATAGACACAGTTTCATTCATAAAGATTTTCGGGCGATGTACCGTAATTAATTACAGGACTGTGGCTAGAACCGCACACGATGAAGCTACATTTCACCTTATCTTGTGCCGTCTGGGACATAATGTAAACTAGCATCTCCTAGCATCATAAGGACTTCCCTGCAATTGCTACTAGCTGGCTCAAGCGTTGTTCAGAGCCTAAACACACGATGGCCTATGATACATCCTCTGCTTGCCTCTACTGTAACTAGACTACATTTCATTCACACTTTTTGGCATAGCCCTAACAGACGGAAGAAGCGTTGGCTTTACTTATGATCCTCAACAGACGCCGAATGTCCAAGCAATCCCAAAGTAGAGGCACGCTAAATGACACTTGCTTCAAAGGACAGGGTTTTTCGGACATCCTCCTTCGAGGTTGACTAATCGAGTTTGCATAAAGTGCGCCAACTCATCACTTTTAGGAGCCGATGAAGTACCGAGCCTCACTTCAAAAACTCTGAATTAGTGGCTTCGGTGAAACAAGGTTTGACAGCCCAGCCAAGATTATGAATGCGTCTTATTTATTTATTTGAGCAAGAAGATATTGTAAATGAAGGTGCCAAACCCACCTTCCTTAGGCGATTGCGTGCTGAGTTTTTGCTCTTGAGATGGTAGACATTTTTGAAAAGAAACTGCTATTCAGCCGGCCCTTTCGAAAAGTATTTTTTTAGATATTAACAGTTGTCATGTGTCAATTCAGGACTTGGAATGGATTCGAAGTGGTAGTGGGTCGGTCCACTCAAGACGTGTACATTATTTATTTTAGTGTTAGAGAAGAAATATCGTAGAAAATAAATGAATATGGTTAATAGTGATGATATAGGTGAAGTTACGGATTAATCAATCCTCGAAGAGGTATTCAACTTATAGAGAGTGGATTATTTCCTCACCCAATTCTTAGTGTAGTTGATCTAAGTGAGCTTTCTATGTAGCTTATTTTAAATAATGAAAAAAAAAACAATATTGAAAACATTCATTCGATGCATATTTAAGTCTTAAACTTATTGTTAATTCTGCAAATTACATTATGATTATAAGAATTTATCACAAAAATTGAAGTGGAAGTAAAATAATGTAAAATAATGATAATGAATGAAGAATAATAAAAGCGATTAGCATATTAATGAGTCATTTGAATAAAGTGGGAAACCAAATTAGAATTCAAATGTAGATACGAAGAGAAACTGGATTTCGATAAATCTTATGAGATAAGATTGTTGGGGGGACTTTCATTTCGTATGAAAGTACATGAAGTATAGATTCTTTGGTCTATATTGCCAGATGAGGACGGATGAATCCCGTTGTACTGCAGCTTTTGGCTGCAGTCTACAACACTTCCTCCCTCATTTAGGGTAAAGAAGCGGGTTGAGCTTTCGTCCATCATATGATGGACATCATCAGAGCTTGGTCTCACTCCTGTAAAAGCCTCACGTTAACACCTTCATCATCTGGTGAGATCTACCAACGAATCTCTTCTTCACGCACTCTCATACGAAATGAAAGTGCTCCCAACAATATAATTTAAATACAAAATGAATAAAATATTGGATAATCGAGGATATGAACACCAAGATATTGTGGCTCTCGGTATAGTGGCAGTCTCATTTCGATGTATGGCATTGGGTTTAGCACGTTTTCGCAAGTTGGTCCTGTTATCACGGCGACTTAGCTGGGCTCACCTTGTCCAAAGTCCTCTGCTATAGTAGTTATCACAAGTCATAGCATCAGATAGCAGACTTGGTACATTTTCCGATGTTTCGCCGGTATCGTAGTCGGTATCATCAGTGAATCTTGCCATTTTAAGCACTAAGCTACAGCTCGTCAAAGAGACAAGTAAAATCAATCCCTCGACCAACTTACTGCCGAAACCTTTGTGCTATCATTCCTCTTTCTGTCCTGGACCATCTATTTACTTACCCTCTTACCCTCTTATACCACTACCGCCCTATCACAATATTTGACTTGTTTACATTCCATCCGTCAAAAGATGTGCCATTTTTGACAACTTTGTGTGGCCTTATCACACCTGCTGGTTACCTTGCCCCCTCTCTTTCGATCGGCTGATCCGACCCTCGTCTCCAATCTGGTTGTCCCTCGTGGTCCCGTAGATCTGGAACCGAGAGAAATAAATTAACCGTATTGATTTCGCTCGT